AAGAAAGAAAGAAACCTAAAGCCTGTTTGTTGTGAAGTAAGATTTATTCTGGAGCAGGTTAAAAGTACACCTCAGAGTACAGAGGTGGGAAAGCCCACCACCGCTGTGCCCGGGCCAAGGCGGGGCTCACCTGCAGCTCAGCTCAGAAGCAAGCTCCTCCCTTTCAGGGAAACGAAACTGACAGCCAGCTGAAGAAATCCAGCCTAACCAGGAAACAAAATTAATAGCCACCCTCTCTGCCGCTGGAAGAGACCTCACCTGGCAGTCTCCTGCGAGGCTTCCCCGGCCTCTGAAGACACAGCGGCCCCAGCCTCGTGACCCCCGAGATGGACCTCATTAGCACCCCCGCCAGAGGTCTGGACAAATTCATCGAAAGCAATCTCCTGCCAGACACTGCTTTCCGCACAGAGGTCAAACGTGCCATCAGTATGATTTGCGAGTTCCTGAAGCGAAGGTGCTTCGAAGGTGCCTACCACAGAGTGCGGGTGTCCAAGGCGGTGAAGGTGAGCCCAGTTATGCCTGACGGGGTGGGCGGTCGAGGGGACAGCGGCCTGAAACCTCGCTGCCCGCGCGGCAACAGCAGCGCCCACCTCCTGGGCTCCGGGCGAGCTGCAGGAGGGAGGAAGCCGAGGCGCCTGGAGCAGCTCCTGCTCAGTGCAGGGGCCTCTCCTCGCTCAGCCGCCCTGGCATTCTTGATGTCTTTCCTAGGGTGGCTCCTCCGGCAAAGGCACGACCCTCAGAGGACGGTCTGATGCTGACCTGGTCGTTTTCCTCACCAACCTCAGCAGTTTTCAGGACCAGATAACACATCGGGGAGAGTTCATCTCGGAAATTAGGAAACAACTAGAAAAATACCAAACACTTAATTCGAACGAAAAGCTTCGCGTAGCGTTTAAATCCGCGGGGAATTGGGCCAATCCCCGCGTGCTCAGCTTTGAGCTGAGTTCGCCCTGCTTCCCGGGAAGGACCGTGGAGTTCGATGTGCTGCCTGCCTTCGACGCCCTGGGTGAGCACCCCGCCGCCGGGGCCCCAGCTTCCTCCTCTAACTCGACCTCCTTCTCGCTCTTTTCTACTTTTCAGCTGAAATCTGTTGTTGGAGTTTTGCCTAAATATCCTGTCATGTTAGAGCCATGGAGGGTAGGGAGATTTTAGGATTTCTCTTAGGACTGAGTAAGGTCATAATCCGTACAAAAGGGATGTAAATAGCAGATTGATCCAATTTTGGAACAAAGAAATTTCTCACAATAGTCCCAGCTGGTCACTGCCCAACATGTAACACAACACACAGCTACTCCTAACTGCTGTCAAAACTCCTGCCTCTTACCCTGCACCTCACAGTCAGTGAATACTCCCCTCACCCCCAGGGATGAAAGGACCCCAGAGAAGGGCTGACATCTTGAAGTTATGGTTTCTATCCTAACAGGTCAGGTCATCAGATCCTACAGACCAGACCCGGAAATCTACGTCAGGCTCATCAATGAATGCACTTCTCAGGAGACAGAGGGCGAGTTCTCCACCTGCTTCACCGAGCTCCAGAAAGACTTTGTAAAGCGGAGGCCAACCAAGGTGAAGAGCCTCATCCGCCTCGTCAAGCACTGGTACCAGCTGGTATGGCCCCCTCCCGCCTGCAGGGACCTCGGGCCCACTCTAGATGGGGGGCGGGGGAGGGGAGGGAAGGGCAGAAAAAGGGGGGTGAAGGAGGGAGGAGGAGAGGCGGGAGGGGCAGGGAAATTGAGGAAGTGAAGGAGAGAGAGAAGGAGGAGATCTGGAGAGGGAGGCAAGATGGGGATGCTGCAGGAGAGAGAAGCAAAGGGGAGGACGTGGAGAGAATCCATGCTTCGCTCTGGATGGTTTCTCCCACTCTAGCTAGAGACGAACTAATTTTCTCTGTACCTGCATCTACTTTCCTACTGAGTTGACATTTTTATTCTAGGATTTCTATTTTATTCTTTTTCAAATCTGCTATGGTATTTTGATGGCATTTAATTTCTGCTATTTCAAGTCCTTATTCCTCTGAACATGATGCCCAGACTCATTGTAAAGTCTGTGCTCAATTCTTCCAGTATGGCAGAGCCAGGGATCAAACCCACATTAGGAAGAATCCAGGGCCGGCAGGGTGTTGTGGTGCACACTTGTAATCTTAGCACTCCTCTAGGAAGCTGAGGCAAGAAGATCACAAGTTCAAGCCAAATCTAGGTAGTCAGGGAGACCCTGTCCTACATTTTTTAAATGAGCTGCAGTTGTAGTTCAGTGGAAAGAGCCTGTCCTCAATCTTCACTATTGAAAAACGGAAGTCCAGGTCTCACACTCTTCCACAGGGTCAGCACACTGCCCTAGAAGGGTGAGCAGTAAGTACTTTAGGCTTTTGGGGCCACATGGTGTTTGTCACATCTGCTCATCTCTGCTGCTATAGTGTGGAAACAGCCATGAATAACCTAAGAATGAATAGGCATGGCTCTGTGTCAATAAAACTTTATTTACAAAAATCAGTTGGCAGACTGAATTAGACTATGACAATCAGACTTTACACAGAAGCTGGGCAACCCTGTTTTCCTGATTGTTTTTCCTTCCCTCAGTGCAAGAAGAAGCTTGGGGGTCCCCTGCCACCACAGTATGCCCTGGAGCTGCTGACCATCTATGCTTGGGAAAATGGGAGTGGAGAAACCCTTTTCAACACAGCCCAAGGATTCAAGACCGTATTGTTATTGGTTATGGAGTACCAGCAGCTCTGCATCTACTGGACAGAGTATTATAACTTTGAAAATGCCACAATTAGAAGCTACCTGAATAAACAGCTCAGGAAGTGCAGGTACCCTCCTGGCTCAGCCCCACACACAAGGGAACAAACCCTGGTGCAGCAGTGGCACCCCAAGGATGAGAGGGTACCCACGCCCTGCACTTACGGAGCATCTCCTGCTGCCTGTCACTGCACTGGCCCCCGACAGCTGCCACTTGGTGGGGACCACAGCCTCTGGCACTAGGGGGGGGGGACTTCTGCTCACCCTTTGACAGATGGGGAAGTTGAGGTTCTGAGCTTGTCCTGAACTTGACCAGAAAATGGTAAGGAGCTTGTCCAGACGGAACAGACAGTGAACTAGGTGGGTGGCCATGGAACACATCAGCGATGATGATCACTCTTGCTGGGACAGAAAGCTCTCAGGGATGAGCAGCACCATTCCTGGAAGCCTTATGCACTGAGCCTCTGTTTTGCTGCGGCCGCAGTGCTGAGCATTTCGTGAGACTCAGTTGGTTCATCTTTGCACCCTATCCTCTGAGATGGGTGTGTTTGATGTGCGCCTCTCCCCATTTCACAGATGAGGAGACTGAGGTTTCAGGAGGGCAGTGAGCTGCCCAAGGGCATGCTGCTGACAAAAGGCACAGGAGGAGATGGGAGCCGGTTCATGCTGAAGGCCCCTCTGCTCACATCCTCTGCTCACTGTGGGGCGGGATTTAGGGTACACCCGGGAGCAGTGCCCTGCTGGGTCCTGTCCTCATCTGCCCAGGCTGCTGTCAGCTCTTCCAGGACGGAGCCCGGCTCCTCACTGGCCCTCTCTGATGATTGCTCCCCAGGCCTGTGATTCTGGACCCAGCAGACCCTACTGGAAACTTGGGTGGTAGCGACCCAGAGCGCTGGAGGCAACTGGCACAGGAGGCTAAAGCCTGGCTGGGCTACACCTGCTTTAAGAACTGGGATGGTTCCTCTGTGAGCTCCTGGAATCTGGCAACACTGGACAGAAAGGTAATGTGCTGGCTTGGCAAGGTCATTGAAATTTGGGGGCCCGAGGCCGACTTGCTGTTAGGAGGTGGGGGTCTGGTACCAGGTAAGTCATGAGGCTGAAGCCTGGCAGCCCCACTTCCTTCCCCGGAACCTCCCTCTCCTGACCCTCTGGACAGGAACAGCTTTTCACCGCAGCAGACTCACACTGCGCTGATGGCTGCATTTGAGCCTCCGCCAGCCATAAACTGAAACATCTGAGACTGGAAGCCAAAATAATCTCCTTTAAGTCATGAGTGTCAGATATGGCTTGACAATTTGTCACAGAAAGTGTGACTTAGCTCTGAGACTCGCAGTCCTCTCAAATATAGCTGAGACCACGGTCACCTAAGACGCGGCTTCCTGCTCACAGTCACCCGTATCAGCAGGCATTCAGGCTGAGCTCTGTATCACACAGCCATTTTGAGCCCCAGAATTTTCACTCCCTTGTCTGGAGCTCACTGCCCTGGCCCCAATTCATCAGGATGCCGCTCCTCAGAGTCTCTCTGGGCTCAAGTTCTGCCTAAGCCCTGAGCACACATGATGTCATTCAAAACTCACGAGGGCCCAGGAGCCTGCTTGCAATCGCCCTGCCTTGTGGACAGCAGAAGAGGCCCCGAGAGGTGCAGTCACTTCCTAAGGTCCCTCAGCTGAGAGTGGCAGGGCTGGACTCAGACAGCTTGGGCTCCCAAGCCAGCACACAGTGCAATGCACTAAGCCAGCAGCTGTCTGGTCTCATCCCTTCTTCCCAGCTGACAGCTGGGAGACTTGAAGCAGCTGGGAATGTGGGCGGGGTCACACAGCTAAGGAGGGCTGCAGAGACCTGAACTTGGCTCTTTCTATGGAGCTGGAGGGCTTCTGATGCTAGGGAAGTGAGCATGTCATGGTGTCATGGGTGAGTTCCCAGGAGAGCACACTGGGGGTGGAGTTTAGGGTGTGGGACATTTGGGGTAAAGGTTCCGGATTTGACACACTGCAAGGGAGGGAAAGGAGGAGCCGCAGTGGCCAATAGCACAGCCACGAACAGACAAGCGGCCACCAAATGTATGTCCCTTCCCTGCCTAAGCCTTCCAAAGGGGTTGACAGGGGAGCCAGTCTTCTGCCACCTCCCCAGAAGCTGGGACCTGCCAGTGCTCGCTCCAGTGGATGCAGGTGGCCAGTGCCCAGGCAGGTGGCCAGTGCCCAGGACAACCAGTCCTGTGGCAGGAAGACCAGCTCCTGATGGAATCATACTTTATCTCCACAACCTGAAGCAGAAAAAGTGAACTATGCTGTGTTTTGGCAGGCGGACATCACCTGGAATCCAGGCCCTGGCTTCTACCAATGCACGTCTCCTCAGCAAGCACAGGAAGGCTGGTCATGTGTCATCCTGTGACCACTGGGCATCTGGCAGGGGGGCAACAGACCCAAAGGATGGCCAGAGGAATTTAAACAAGAGAGTGGCATTTGGCCTTTTTTCCATCTGTATCCTAGTCATGTTCAATGACAATAAATAAAAACGACAACAGGTGCGTGTCGGGTCCTTATGAACTTCAAGGCACAGGGTCAGGAAGAACAGATGTATGTGCTCATGGGTTCAACTGAAAATGTTTTTTAAGTGCTAGAAATATTCTTTAAGATCTTGGCACTGGGAACACAATGAATAAAGTAGACTAAAGCCCTTGCCTTATATGGAGTTAATATTTTGACACATAGTGGTTTGGGATACCTGTAAAATGTCCTACCTTTATAAGAAAAAGCCTGAGCCAAGC